ATTTATAGACCATAGTGGCTGTTTTTAATTCTCGTTGAAGATTAAGTTTTTGCCAGCCAAGTCTAACAAAGAGATCATCCGCATTGGCATCATATGAAGGAGAGGTCAAAATACGCGCAGTGCGATTCTGTAGTTTTTGTAGTTTAATGGAATGCAGTTACCCCATAGGACGCTATAGTAATCGAAATGAGGTTGAACTAAAGCATTATAGATGCATAGGAGCTTTTCAAAAGGAACAAAAGACCTGCTTCACTTCAAGATGCCAATGCAGGAGGCAATTTTTTTGGAAATACGTTCGGTTGGAAAAAGGTGGATCAGAACTCACGTATCGCTCAGTTCATTTGTATTGTAAACATTTCAAAAAGTTTTATTTATGTATTTTAACCGTTCCTTTCACCTCACAATTGGGTTAAGAATAAGGGGAGAGCGGCGCATGCGTGACAAATAGAGGATGTTTATGAGATTATCATACCCCCCTCCCTCCCATACTTGAAGAAAATCTTACAGAGGTACAGTTTCAGCAGAAGATATTTTTAGATTTGCAAAACACGCTTTCGATGTTAAGAACGCTGGAAGAACGTTTCCAGATTTTGCGTATAGTCTTCGATTCTTAGACACAGTTGCCAAATTTCAGACAGAGAAAAAGGTAAATTTACCCTTCAAGGACACTCGTCTCTGAAGACTTATGAACTAACTAAAAGTATGTGAATCCGCTCTAATGATCTAAGTTATCATTGCAGGTTCAACATGGACTCAGGAAATAGTTTGGCAGATAATTCACGACGGTACAGTTTGCGAGGGTCGACTGGATGAAAGAGTGCCTTATATCGAAGGAATGATTTTGCCTCACAGATCCTATCCTTATACCGTGAACGACGTGGAGTCAATAGAGGAGATGTTTAGCAGCTTTCCTGCCCCACGTGTATTTAAAACTCATCTTCCGTATCACATGGTTCCTAAGGGCCACGATGAAACTACCAAGCCTCGCTACATTTATGTCATGCGCAATCCTAAAGATGCGTTTGTGTCCTACTATCATCATCTTCGCAACATGCCTTATCATAAGGAAATTCCCACTTGGGACGAGGCCTTTGGATGTTTCATGAAAGGAAGAGGTTAGTAAGGGANAAGGAAATTCCCACGTGGGACGAGGCCTTTGGATGTTTCATGAAAGGAAGAGGTTAGTAAGGGAATGTAACAGGTATGCTAGATACCCACTTAAGGTGGCTTTAAACAGTTTCCAGCACTTTCTAGGACTTAGATTTTGATGAGTTCATTACAACTCCACTCTTTATAAGTTGATAGGTATGCTAAATACTTGACAGGCAGATCAATCAATGTAATGTTTAAATCAGTTTGAATGTTTTATGTGTCAAAGAGTTTGGCACTGCGTTTGCACTGTGATGTTAACTGTAATTTCATGTTATGTTTATTGGTTGTTGGCTTCACACTAGAAGCTAAGTTAGCTTCAAACAAGCACTTGAACGTCTCAAGTTGCACTTTAGGAAACTTGGCTTCACACCTCATGTATATCACAAATGCGATTATTCGGCAGTAAAATCGTGAAGAAATGCATATAGTTGCTTTGTTGCTTAAGAGTACATAACAGCAACACAAAGAAACAAACGATGTCTTCTGTATTTTTCTAGAATGGCTCAACAATGCGGTTTTCGGCAAAGAAATTTCTGTAGGGCTTTAGCTAACCGAGACATAGATGCGCTATAGAAAATGCATTTCCGTGTGGCTCGTCCAATGTTCAACATAGTGTTTTGGGTACAAAAAAATGACCTTGTCGAAACTTTAAACAGCAGCTGGTTTGCAATTTACAGAGCTGCATATGGAAAGCGATGGTTAGGCCGTCAATGAAAGTGAAATTCAAGCAAGTTGTTCGTCTGTCCGTTCATCAGAATTGTAGCAACGCTCCACATCGCTTTCAGTTGGCTTCCATTTCCTCTTAATCAAGTGTGTTCTCTAGTGTGGGGTGTAGACCATACTTGGCGGCCCACTTCGGCTTCTTTGAACCACGAACGTTTCCATGGTCACTACGTTAAGTCCAAGTAAGTACATTTTACCCCTTCAAACTCAAAGTAGGTACCAAGTGCACTTACATTATTCTTACAAGCTCTAGTGTGAAGCCAACAAATGTATCTTGAATAAAACATTATGTTATGTTATGTTATGACATGTTAAGTCATGTCAAGTCATGTCATGTCATGTCATGTCATGTCAAGTCACGTCAAATCACGTCATGTCATGTCATGCCATGTCATGTAACGTCACAATTTGTACTGAGTACGAGTCGCTGACACAGACAGGTATATCAGTACTGCCTTTCTGTTGTTGTTTGTGTCATTGGATGAGTGAATTAATTACGGGAATATACAAATGTGTTATATGAACACAAGATTTGTATGTAGCCATAGGTGGTGTGTGGTTTGATCACGTGCTAAGCTGGTGGAAACACAGAGACGATCCTAACATTTTGTTTCTTACGTACCGA